ACCTAAAAACATCAATCCATGAAAACATATGACATTTTTGTGAGGTAGTTGAGAAATACTTTGTTTATTGTTGAAACACAACTACTATTAAGGGGAAATATGTGAAAACCAAAGATGGGCACATGGCTGAGAGGGAAGAATATATTACAGATTTTTCTAAACAGTTGATTCATGCTTTGATTACTTGAGCGTTGCCACCAACTTCTGTTCTACCCACAGACGTGAAAGTTTCTGTTAAAGTTTACTAATGCCTTCATTATAAACAGGTTTACTTGCTGGGGGAAAAGAAAAGGAACAGAGAAGTTTTAAATCAAATTACTATATCTCGTGTTTACTGTACTATGTGAATGCTGTTACTTTCAGACAAAAGAGCTTAGAGGCAAGTTTCTGCAAGATAGCAAAAGTGTGAATTTAGTGAAAAGGTATTTTTAACATCATAGAATCATTGAATATCCCAAGTTGGAAGGGACCCACAAGAATCATTGAGTCCAACTCCTGAGTCCCCAAAGGACCACCCAAAAAAATCAGACCATGTGTCTGAAAGCGTTGTCCAAACTGAACTCCGCCAGGCTTGGTGCTGTGACCACTGTCCTGGGAAGCCTGTTTCAGTGCCCAACCACCCTCTTGGTGAAGAACCTTTTCTGATATACATCCTGACCCTCCCCTGTCCCAGCTCCATGCCGTTCCCTCAGGTCCTGTCGCTGTCCCCAGAGAGCAGAGCTCAGCGCCTGCCCCTCTGCTCCCCTCATGAGGGAAATGCAGGCCACCATGAGGCCTCCCCTCATCCTGCTCTGCTCTGGACTGAACAAACCAAGGGATTTCAGCTGCTCTTCATACACCTTGCCCTCTAGACCCTTCACCATCTTTGTAGACCTCCTTTGGACACTCTCTAACAATTTTATGCCTTTCTTATACTGGAGCACACAAAACTGCACACAGAACTTGAGGTGAGACCACACCAGCAGAGCAGAGAGGGACAATCCCTTCCCTCGACAGGCTAGCAATGCCGTGTTTGATGCACCCCAGGATGTGGCTGGCCCTCATGGCTGCCAGGGCATTCTGCTGGCTCATAAAAAAGAAAAAAAATTGTTAACTAATGGCGTTACTTCCAAACAGACTACACACACATATATATATACATATATATAAATGTTTTTTGATATTAGAATTAGAGATTTTGTTTGTTTGTTCAATACAGATATATAGTTTAAAGCTAAAAAAGAGGGAGATGAAAGAAGGGAAGGTAGGTAGTAGTAAAAGAGTCCTTAAACATAATATAAATAGGCTGACTTTTTAACCAGCACTGTTAATTGCAAAGTCCTCTATATAAAGAATGGTTTAGCATTTGAAGCACTCAAAAAAAAAAAAAAAAAAAAAAAAAAGAGAGAGAAATTGAGTTTTGGGCCTTCTTCAGAAGGATTCAAATTCACACCTGGCTACCCTGCAGAATCAGGTGGATCCCCTTCCTTCCACCACCATTAAAGGTGGGCCATAACGAAAAGAAGACTGCAAGATTCATGGACAGAAGGACCACAAACAAGAAAAAGCCCAGCTACAAACTGGACACTCAGCTTTGAAAAGGCAGGCTTGGGCTCTGTGCTCTGGTCTCAGAATGTTTCTCCTATTTCATAGCAAAGTCTTTGAAGTCGGTGGAAAATGGTCAGCAAAAGTGGAAGAGAAAGTGTCCTTAGAAGTAACCCAGGAAGTGGGAACAAGACACTAAGTCACTCCCTCTTCCCAGCTGAATATCTTAACTTCTAAGTTACAGGGTTAAGCTGCTTCTCACTTGCCTCAATTCCAACCATGTCCCATTTAAGGCATCTTTCTGGACTTTACCCAGAGACTTGAACTGATGGCAGGAATTGCCATCAATGAGGACATCTGTCAGGCAGGGGGAGGAGAGGGAGCATGTCTTTTATAAAACGCTGGAAGATATGTGAAGGTTACCAGGTCAGCATTTTCTCAGATATTTATGGATTAAAAACTGGGCCCCAGCCAAGTGAAGTGAGACGAAGTGTCAAGGACAAGTACGCCTTGCAAACTCTCTCTCCTCCTTTTGTCTCAGATATAAAATTATTCTGGGGTGAATGTGAATAATACAACTGTTGCAAAGTAATTCAGGTTCCCAAGAAATGAAGGAGGCAATGGTAGAATCTGATCTCAGAAAAGTTTAGCCAAGGAGAGTAAAAGCTAGTGATCTCAAGAGAAATTGTGAGAGGAATGAAGAGAAAAGAGGCATCTAATGATGTAGGTGTGATGAAGAACAGACTGGATAAAGGCACCAGGAAAGATCAGACTGGGTGAGGACCTATCTGTAAATTGGGAACTGGTAGTATTAGGAACCATGTGCAGGAATAAGGAATTTTAACCTAAAGAACTTGTGACAACCCAATTGAGATAACAGAAGATGGCTGGGAAGGGCAGTGAATAAAAAGGAGGTAGGGATATAGCAAATACAAAGAGCTCAGACTCCGAACATGCAGAGAAAGTGAACAAGAATCACAAAAAAAAAAAAATAGAGATTAAGACTGGATAGGTTAAGTTAATAAAATGGAAATGGAGAATGTGGAAGAGGAAAAGGAGGAAAACAAGGAAGGCACAGGCTGAATGACTGAACAGGTAAGTGTCCATGCAGCAGGTTCAACACATTTCCCTCCAACACCTGAAATGGAATTTAATATGCCAAAGCCTGGTGTCAGATTAAACTGTGAAACTGAAAAAATGTCCCATTTTCCACTGATGTCTCCTCATTTTCTTCAACTTTTGAACTTTTGTTAAACAAAGAAGAGAACAACCTGCTATTGCTATCAACAGTTACTGATGGCTGAACAGAATACGTTTCTGCATTTGATCTAAAGATTCTGCGCTACCAACTGATTTTGCGTGCATTGATCTGATATCCCCTAACTCAAGTTATTTTAATAATTCAACAGCTTAAGAAATGACATGCAGACTCACTTCTCCCTGTCCTAAATCCTGCATGAAGGAAGTATCAATACAACAATTCTGAAAGCCAAGCATGCAGAAGCATAGCAATACCTGTGCAACTTTAACTCAGCCTCTTGTGTACTATAGAATACGTAATGGCAGTCATCAATATTTCAGTCTTTAATAGTTTGGCCTTAAATATTTATACCTCTAGATATTTATTCCCCCAGCAATCATGCCTCATTGCATAGGATCAGCTTGAGCATTTCGTTCAAGTCAGGATAACACAATAGCAAGGGGAATTGCATTAAAAAATTATCCAGAGTAAGGCACTTGAACAAGGCTTTGTGTAACTGCAATCCATACCAAACCCTATCAGCCACCTTCTTGTGTGAAGTCAGCTTTCCAGAGAATGTCACAATCAGGGAGACTTAATTTTCTTAGCACTTCAGTCATAAGATGTGTAAAGACTCAGGAAAAAGCAAGCAGAAAGCCCTGCAGACAACAACAGAAACTTTCTGGAAGAAAGGACTTCCCTTGCCAGTGTACGTGAAAGAGTAGTTCTGGAAAAAGTAACATTTTTAGAGCAATTTTTTTTTTTAAATTGCAAATCAGTTCAATCAACTCTCTTCTACTATTTTTTTAAATCATTTCAAGACTTACAGCACATGACAGTTACACTTTCTAAATACAGTGGGCTTATTCAGAGTATACGTATTAAATTCAAATTTGCCTCTTAACATTATAAGAATTTCAAATTAGAATGATGTTCCTTCCCTACATTTTTTCTTTAGAAGCATGAGTTTCACCTTTATTTGTATTATCTTCTCAGGTCTCCAATGACATACTGCTCTGCTAAAAAATTTTTTAAATTTTGTTTACAGTCAACAGGATCAATGTTTTCATTTTTCAAAGCTTAGTTTTCCCTATTTTATAGGCACATTAACCATTATGAAATACGGAAATATCTTAACATGTGTTTTTGTGTTTAATTCTATTCAATTCAGAATATATTCATTTTTTAGTACTTTTACTATTCAAAAGTAAATACGTCTAGGTAAACTAGAATTCATGTGTTGCTCTTCAAAAAACAAACCAACTTTAATTTCAGTAAGCAAATAATTAGTTCTAAGCACCGCAGTTAGGCCCCAAATTTCTTTTTTCTCTGCCTGAAGGAAATTAAATATATATGAATAGAAGTCCTCTTTCAAGGAATCAACACTTTTCAAAAAATTTACTACTTGTTCTTAATATTTGAAGACCAAAGAGCAAAAGCCAGATCACTCAGGTTTAGAAAGAGCAACTTTTTTGTTGGCAGGGGAAATGAGGGGGGTCACAGAGGAAATAGTGAGGGTCATCACTACAACACTGTCTCTGAAGGCCCCCAGGACCACCTTGCTTCGCTGAATAGCTAAGCCCCAAAAGCTTAGCTCTACTTGACCAGGAAACAGCTGAGATCTTAATAATAATTAAAAAAAAAAAAAAAAAAAAGAACAAATAAACCCTTCTTTGGCATTCAGCTGTAGCATGACTAGATCCCATCCCAAAACAATACACTCTTGCCCTAAATGTTTTCTAATCCTGGTCACCCCTAAGGATGCGATTACTCGTGGTGCTTCAGCATCTTCAAAATATGCAGCCATGAACTCACTTAAGAAAAAAGCTGCTAACTGTCCCTGAAGTTATTTGAAGATTAGCCTTGAGGCTGTCAAGATGGAAACTGAACTTGTAATAACTGATTCCACCTAACTGCCACTCCACAAACAAACCTCTTCTGAATAGCCTGATCGTAGCCACAGCTTCATTCCCTGGAACTAGTCATGGGCAAATAGCTGGGGCAAGTTGCCAGTCACTGATAGAAACTGCCAGGACCAGAGCATGCTGGCACAGCAGATATTTACTACATAGCTAGAATACTACAACAGCGCTATCTATTGCATTTTCTGTACAAGTGCCATAAACACAATTCTTCAGGAAAAATGAATGAGAAGATAGCTTGTCAGCAAGATGCCTTGTTCCTTCTACGTAGCTAAGTATACCAAGAAAATATAGTGAAGTAATAATGACTTTACCTGCTTGTCTTTCTATTTTTCTTATTATTTCATTATGTAGATTATGTTGTGATGTCGTCAAATCCATAATATGCCACAAGACATGGGACAGAAAAACAGAAGCCTGCCTACCTGGCAAAAATGAATTAAAATATTTTACTTTTTTTTTTTCCCCACATACCACTTCACACACACAGTTTATATTTGTTATGCTATAATTTGCTTATATTAACATATAGAAACATAAATATCTGTATTCAAAGCATAAAAGAGCCAGAAGTTGCAAACAAGTTTAACTGCTCTCCCCTTAGAGAGGGGGAAAAAGTGAGTAAATTCAGAGGGGGATTGCATGCTTTGATAAAACTGTTTTTATGAGATTTTAACATTAGAACTAAATTAAGTCAAGTTAGTAAGCTTATAATTGTTTGAATGGGAAGGTAGCAACAAATACTTGAAGAAGAAAAATTACACTGATCTTGAATTAACTAGCCTGGAAGGGAAGGAAACAAACAGTTAATAAAAGTGGCACATGAAAATAAGTAGGAAGCAGGAGCTGTTAGCAACATGAAAAACAGAATGCATATGTGCCTGTGTATAAATAGATGCAAGACTTACATACTCAGTAGAAAAAAAAAATAATAGGGAAAAAATGTCACAAGGCAAAACTTAAGAAGTTGCAATACATTATGATAGCAAAAAAGAACAATGTAATTTACAGTATGTGCAGAACAGCAAAAAAAAAAAGCCTCAAATTCTTGACATTTTACTACCACAAAAACACAGTTTACAGAAAAACAAGAGCAAAAAAAAGGTGCTCTGAAAATTTTTAAGTCCTACACTATAATATGGAAATTTGACTGATTTTTGCAGGACTGGTTACAGGGAGAATACAGTTAATAGTACAAAGATACAAGTAAATAAGGCAAACGGTCAATGATTATATACAGAATAAATAAAAATTAATATATTTATATATATATATAAAATAAATAAAATAGTAAAAACATAGGCTGAATATCAAGGACACTTTCTCACAGTGCAAAGCCTTAGACAGACCTACCTCTCAAATCACGGGATGAAAGTGAACAGTAGAGAACAACCCTGTCTTGTTAGGGAGGTCACACGATATTCTGTTGACTTTACCCTACAAAAGGCATCCAGGTTTCACCTTATCACTGTAGTGCCAGCAGCCATTAACCTATCTGAAGGTGAAAAAATAACTTATCTGGTTTCTACACATTACTATAGCATGTAAAACAAACATACTCCTATTGTATTTAAGTCCATCTATGAACTTAACAATAGCAACAATATTATGTGGGAAAAAGACAAATTCGGTAGAATTCAAAATCCTTGTATCCATATTAAGAATAGCAAATAGCATTAGAAACCAGTGGAACATAAAGCAGTAAATGTTACAGGCATTCATCAGCTTGTCATCTACCTTGGAACTATATAAAATCAAATTTTCTTCCCATTAGAAGATAAAAATAAAGGGTTAATAATCAGTCCCTTTGTATTCTGAAGTACAAGCAATGTTAACAGTATAAAATCACCTTTAAAGGAACACCTTTGTTTTTGATGGGTTCTATAGATTTTTTTTTTCCCTTTCTAAAATTACCCTTTAAGGTACACTCAAGTACACAACCTGTCTGCCTTAGCATATTAATTCAGGAGCACTGCCAGCAACTAAAAGCCCACAGGTACAGAAGAGCTCAGTTACTGACTTATACAAAGGTAAAATATTACAAAGTAATTTAGAGCCAAAAGAACAAGGCAAGTCACATCTACTGTATTTCAGTCAACACTACCTGAATCTCTTCCACTAGCTTTCCAATGATGGCACTCAAAACAAACCAAAAACCAAAAATCCTTACTTGCCAGGTAGTTTCCTTCCCAGTTAGCTGCCAGGCAGTCCCTGATAGAAAAGCTCTAAAGCGTGTGTTACATACTGCCAACATCCCCACACCAGTAGCAGTAATAAATCCTGACAGCTGCAGCAGGAACACAAAGTGGGCACAGGGCACCATGGCTCTCTGACGTAAGGGGACAGAAGATTTCATAACAGCAACAGGTATCTAGTCAAGGGAGCTCCAACCAATAAAGTAACCAACTTCCACTTGATTTTTTTTTTTTTTTTGTGAAAACAAGACAGTAGCACAGTGTTAGTAACCTCTCATTGCCACTAAAAAGTAACTGAAGAGCAAAAAGTAATTCTTCAGAGACAAAGGCTTCTTCAAAGCACAAAAGGGCAACTTACCAACCAGCCGTGTGGGAATCTGTGGATACATAACCAGGCACTCTCAAAAGAATCTGAAACTGCAACAAGGTACAAAACCTGAAAAGTTGTAGTCCACTTTAAAGCCAAATATTTGATGTATAGACAGCTGTCAATGTACATAAATACGCATGCATCACTCCTCTCTTGTATATACAAGATGTAGATTTGCTCAACAGATTGCAGCCAGTTACTGCCACTAGAACAGAGGTGTCCTTAAGACCTCTCTTATTTTAGATTGTCATATCAATACAGGACAGGAGCTCTCTTACTTTACCAGTTTTTTTAGTAAAATTGGACTCCAACATCAACTAGGGTTTCTAGGTGCCATTGAAAAATTATTATTGTACAAGAATACTGAACAAGACTTAGAGAACTGAAGGTCTCTGTATTTTATCACACTCACCAAAAGAAAATAATGGGAGCTCTTCCACGTTTAGAAGCTATCAAACAAACCACCAAGGCCTGCTCTACCTTTTAAAGTAACATTCAGCAATGCCTGAGTGATCTGCGAAACAATGCTGTAAATCAGTTGTCCAGACAAAGAAATCACTTCAAATGTGATCATTTTTTTACAAAAGTGCTATCAAAAGGGATATTTTGGATAAAAGAGATATTCTGGGCCTAACAAATTGTTTCTCTCACAAATGAATCCGACATGAGTGCTGCAGCCAGTGGATCTGTATGCCGGGTTCTTGAAGCACAAGCAAGATGAATGTTTCCCAGGAAGCAGCCCCCGCACTGTTATTACAAACCTCCTCACTGATGAAACTGAAGCGAGGGTGGGAAGGGAAGGAAAGTTGGCAGTGTTGGGGCAGACTGGCAGAATCCAGCTGCATGGAGACGCAAAGTGAACAAAGAAAAATTCTGGCTTTCATTCAGACACTGACACAGCAGATCAACAGAAAGAGCAACTGATAAGACAAAGGGGTTAAGCAGGAAAGCAAAATGAAAGAAAGATCATTTCACAGGTTATGCCCAGTGATGAATGCTCTAAGGTGAAATCTAAAGGACTTAAAAACCTCCATGCTACCTCTGAGCATCACTTTTGGAAACAAATTCTGTCTTTGGACATCCCCACGTAACTCCAAGTTTCAAAACATGTCATTTACATTCAGAATATAAGCAATTATTGTTATAATTATGGATCATAAGAATTTACTGTACTATTTTTCATGACATACTATGAGGGCTTAGATATAGGAATAGATATTATTTTTTAGCTTAATTTTATAACCTCAGAACAGAAAAAACATATCAAGTCCAGCTTGAGTAATTGTGCTGAAAGAATTCTTTTTTCCATTGTTTAAAATCCCTCCTATTTAAATTCCAGACACAAAACAATACATGACAATTGCAGATGAATAATTTATTTTTTTACATTCAAATTCATTAGAATACTTACAGAGTTTAAGTGATAAAAAACACATACACAGTCTATCTTTAAGACTTTTTTTCTTTAAGGCTTTTTCTTTTTTTTTCCTCTCTTATTCCGTGGTTTCTGTTTTCTGCCCTCAAACACAGATTTGGCAGTCACCATGATCAGGTTTCCCAGTTCTTCATCCTCACCACTTGAGCTACTGTACCCTTTTTTCTCTTTATGGTCTGTTGTCTCTACTTCAGAGGTAATTTTCCTCCTTTTGCTCTCATCTAAATCTCTGCTTTCCAATTCCTCTGCTGAGGAGTCACTAGAAGTTTCTGAGAGATGCAAATTCCCAACAAAACCGCCTCCATATAAAGGTTCCTTTCTGAAATCTGAACGCTTCCTTCTCTTTCCACTTTGGATTTCTGTTGCCATGGCTTGATGATTTGAGCAGCCTGAAGTACTTCCCCCTTTCCTTTTCTCATGCTGTTTAAGTTCTTTCTCCATAACAGCAGTAGCTTCCCGAATTTCATCAGCTTCTTCTTCTTTTTCCTTTCTCTTCAGACAAGTCACAGCTCTGCGTAGTCTCTGACTTTTAATAGCTTGTTTTTCATGCTGTGCTTGTCTGAAGAATGAATCAATCCGAAGCTGAGTCTAACAAAAATAAAACAGTGAAGCAGCTTTGGATGTTTTGTGACAGGAATTCAGTTGTTATCTAAGACATACCATAAAGCATCATAAATTAAAGCAGGACAAATGACTAATGAAATCAGTAATGCATGTGGGTAAGATGTATTATTATAGTAATACTTGTACTTTTATAATAAATTATGCAATAAGAACCTTCATAGGAACTATGGGCAAACTCCAGTGAAATTTTTATTAACATTGTGTATGTGATTATGGTTAGATATACATTGCTATTTTCAACCCTAATGCAGAGAATCTTTGCAGTACATCCTTGCAAACACATCCTTAAATGCAAGCTGTTAAAACAACACAACATTTACTAACAAATACTGCTAACACTTCACATCTGCATATGTCAGTACAACAAAATGCTGCCGTTGGACTTGAACTCATTCTAACACATGCTGCTACAGTAGAGAGATTGAGAGTAGAACTAGAAGCAGTTGCACACAATGGATCTGGTTTCTCAGCTACAGCCAGGCTTGCTGTATAGACTATACCAGTCCTCTACCATTCCCTAAAATCAGCTAAGGAGACAGACACTTCCAAAGGTTGTTCCAGTCAACCTAAAAATGTACGGATCTAATGACAGTGTTGTGGTACCTTTCAAGCCTCTGACTAGAGACAGCCTAGGGGACTTGTGTAGGCTACATCTTGTTGGTAGCAAAAGGAGAAAAGAATCCTAGCTTAGTTAATCAGTTCTGCAAATAACTTTTAGAGTTGCACAGTACGCACCACTTTTAAGTTGTATGAAAGCTGACAGTATATTTATTTGTAAAGTTGAGTAATATTATAAGTGGGCTCTTGGCCAATGGTTTAGTCTGTATTTCTCCTTAAAGGATTGGTATGGTACCCAATGGTCCATTTCACTTTACCAAAGTCTTAGGGGCATTTTTATAAATCATTTTAAGAGACAACACACAGTCTTTTAAAGCACAAAAGGTACTTGAGGTACTTGTAGTTCCAGCTATATCTGGAGCAAACAGCAACTTGGACTTGAAGAAGCTGCTTGATAGATTACCGATTTGTAAACCAACTACTACAATTACAGCCTCTGAAATTACATAGAGTGCCTCACAGTACACCAAAATCATTAAGAAACAAAGTCTAGAGAACTGTTTACTGGTTTATATATATATAATCTATATTTATATATATTTACAAAAAGATAAAAATATGGTCAAATTCCAGCTTCCAATAAATGTATTTTATAGATTAAAGCCTTGCTGTTCGTTTTAAAATGCATCTCTTCCAATTTTCCAACTAGGCTTAAGCTATACAGAGTTCTATACTTTACCTGCTGCAAGTTCAGCTGTTTCATCACAGGCAAAAGGACTTCATCTATCTTTGTCCTAGTCCAGCCAAAGTGATCTTTACAGAATGTGCAGAAAGTTAAGGAACATTAAAAATGGTTTTTGCTGCTGTTTTGTAAACACAAAATAAAAATTCCTCGATTAACCCATGTCTGGAGGAAGGCTACTCTATGTCAATATTTTTACTACTACAAAAACAAAGAAAATGCCTCAAGTTATTAAGCCCAACTTATGTGGATGATTCTAATATTATGTGATGTGTGTTCATCATGCCATTACATCTCTGTTTGTCATCAGTGTTTATTAGCACTACCAAAAGTGTGCCTCCAGGAATAAAAAGCTCATTTTGGCTATGCAGTACTGCCATAAAATACGATACCTGTAAATAAACTACTTGTACATTTGCACACCCTGAAATTCTCATTTACTGTTTAAAACATTATTAGTTCTGCACACATTGCCATCTACTTTTCAACAATTCACTGCAGCTCAAGCCGCGACCAGTGCAAGAAATAGACATTACTGCAAGGAATGCAATAAATAACTAGGTTTTGAAACTCACGTGTGAAAGACGGACAGTTACAGAAGCGTAATGTCACAACAAGCTGCTCAGCCCCGCTATGAGACCGGATTCAAAGTGAAGCAGGAGGGCAGTGCAGCCTCAAATGCCATACATGTATAGCTACATTCTTTTCAATTCCAAAGATGGTATCAGTGTATGAGAGCACACACAGCGGGGGCAAGGAGGCCCATCACACCAATGAGATGTTAAGAATTTGGCACACTGCTAACGAGTCACTACCTATCCCTATGAACTTTAATCTGGATACTTTTAGCTAACAATTCTTGTCTTATAGTAAAAGGATATTCTCTGATCTGCTCTACATCAGGCTTCCCCCAGGTGAACGAACCCCTTCTTTCATCCACCACAGGCTTCAGGTATGCTTCTGCCACTGCTGGATTTGGGAAACCTGAAGAAAGCTGTAGATCCCGCAACTTCTTCTTGACTTTGGTATCATGTGGATTAGATCTCATTTTTTTATTTTTTTGAGCCTCCTGCCACCATTCACTGAAAAACAGAGGAAAACATTCATTTATCCCCATAAAATGTAGCTTGGAATGTCAAGAGCATCCATGCTAACTTAAATGGCTTTAATCAGACTCCCTACTTCAGTTACTACATGACATGAGGTAGGTAATTTTCTAATAAAAATGGCCAAAGGGACATATATCTGAAAGCAGAAAGGACAAAACATATACAGCCAATAGAGCCACTGCCAGCCAGTGTAGCAAACATCACCTGGATTCCCCCTAAGCAGCTAAACAGAAGGGCTCAAATTCAGCCTGATTTGGGAAGGACATACCACATGTTACAATCATTTTTGGATTTTTTTGGAAAAAATACAAATAAAAAGGACTTCTAATCATCTTCATGATTGCCAATACAGTTGGCTTGTCAGTCTTCAAACCTTGTTCTTCCCCACAGCCTACCTGTCTGTCTCTTTCCAGGTCATCCATTCCTCACTCATCAAGTCTCTTTTCTCTATGAGCAAGCTAC